TGCTAAATTAACACTTTTGTTAGCTCAATTTGGTGTTTTATTAGGGAATAATTTTCTGTTACAATCTACCTCATTTCAAGAGCATGGTGGGTCTGATTTTCACTTCGAGTCTGAATATATTGAAGTGCCATTGGTAAGGCATAGTCTTTGGGTTTTCTGTGCAAGATAACTTCTTCAGGGTTTTCAAAGTAGGACGAGTTTCATTATTCAGGAACAAAAGGAGTGCCTCATCTGACAAAATGTTTGTTGGCAGTTGGGATTCAGGGTAATCATAGTCATAAGAAATTCTCTCTAATATTTTCATTCTGATTTTAACAAAATGTATATATTTTTTTCTCTAAACAATGCCCTAACATTCAACAAGAAATCTTCTCTAAATATTAATTCAACTGGTCTTTAGTATAGTCATGGGATGTTCCACGTTTTTGAACTGAGACTAAGTATGTTTATTACTAAGAATTTTAACAACTTTAGCACCAATAGTGGCAATTGTTTCACCCAGTAGTCTAATTTTCTCATGATCTTTATATGGATAATTGGCTTTTCAAATTATATTTAATGCTGTGATTGAATTTATTGAAGCTATGCAATTCCTCAGTTTATATATAATTCCCTCCATTCATATATAATCCCCTCAGTTCATATATAATTATATAATTATTTATTATATATGAATGATTTATAAATAAGTAAATAAATAAAATCCCATACATGAAATGAGTGCATTGAACATGACTTCAATTTATGAAAAATAATGAGCTATGAAAAGTTATTAACATATTGTAGTTTTGCAGAATCTGTTAAATTTATTTAGTATAAACTAGTATTTTGCTAAGGGTCACTATCAAACTTATTAAGTTGTAAATTTCAGAATTACTTAATATTCCTCTTATAAATTGGAATTTTTGCCGTATTTAGTGTTCTTTGACCTCCCTCATTCTAGTTTGTTAATTAAAAAAATACTAGTTGTGGGGAGCAGGAAGATGGCCATGGAGTAGAGGGATCCTAGGCTTGTCTCATTCCACGAACATGACTAGATAACAAGCAAATTATCCTAAATACCCTAGAAATAGACCTGAAGACTGACTGAGCAAACTCAACAACTTAAGGGAAAGAAGAGACCACATTGAATAATGTAGAAAGTGCAGATATGTGGTTTAGGGGAGAAACGGATCATGGGTACCATGGAAGGGAGGAAGCCATGGATACAGAGAAGGGAGTCAGAGGAGCACACAGAGGAACACACAAGTAGAATGCTTTTCCAATGTCATTAGCTAGAAAAATGGGAGGACTTGAATTATCATGAGTTCTTGCAATCAGCAAGGCTTAAAGCTTGGAGTTGTATAGGCCAGAGCTCAGCTGGAATAGAGCCTGAAGGACACTGCACTGTTTTTGGAGAGAAGCAGTTGTAGTTTTAATTTGCATTTCTCTGATGATGGATGATGTTGAGCATCTTTTCATGTGCCTGTTAGCCATCTGTATGTCTTCTGTGGAAAAATGTATTTTCATGTCTTTTGCCCATTATTATTGGATTATTTGTTTTTTTTTGTTTTTTGAGTTTTATAAGTTCTTTATATATTTTATTTATTTTTTTTTTATAAATTAATTTTTATTGGTGTTCAATTTACCAACATACAGAATAACACCCAGTGCTCATCCCGTCAAGTGTACCCCTCAGTGCCAGTCACCCATTCACCCCCACCCCCCACCCGCCTCCCCCTCCACCACCCCTAGTTCATTTCCCAGAGTTAGAAGTCTTTATGTTCTGTCTCCCTTTCTGATATTTCTCACACATTTCTTCTCCCTTCCCTTATATTCCCTTTCGCTATTATTCATATTCCCCAAATGAATGAGAACATACACCGTTTGTCCTTCTCCGGTTACTGTGGCCAAGTTCAAAAAGGGTGTTGCCTGAGTTCTCCTCTGGGATTTTGATGGAATCTTGTCTCACATTTAGATCTTTCATCTATTTTGAGTTTATCTTTGTGTATGGTGCAAGAGAGTGGTCCATTTCATTCTTCTGCATGTGGATGTCCAATTTTCCCAGCACCATTTATTGAAGAGACTGTCTTTCTTCTAGTGGATCGTCTTTCCTCCTTTATCGCATATTAGTTGAGCATAAAGTTCAGGGTCCACTTCTGGGTTCTCTGTTCTGTTCCATTGATCTATATGTCTGTTTTTGTGCCAGTACCACACTGTCTTGATGAACACAGCCTTCTGGTACAACCTGAAATCTGGCATTGCGATGCCCCCAGATATGGTTTTCTTTTTTTAAAATTCCCCTGGCTGTTTGGGGTCTTTTCTGATTCCACACAAATCTTAAAATAATTTGTTCTAAGTCTCTGAAGAAAGTCCATGGTATTTTGATAGGGATTGCATTATACGTGTAAATTGCCCTGGGTAACATTGACATTTTCACAATATTAATTCTGCCAATCCATGAGCATGGAATATTTTTCCATCTCTTTGTGTCTTCCTCAATTTCTTTCAGAAGTGTTCTGTAGTTTTTAGGGTATATTTTGAGAACCATTTGAATGGTAAATGGTTCTCCAACCTTTTATTTTCAGGTTGTAGGTGTCCTTCTGTCTAAAATGAGTCTCTTGTAGACAGCAAATAGATGGGTCCTGCTTTTTTTATCCAGTCTGAAACTCTGCGCCTTTTGATGGGGTCATTAAGCCCATTCACGTTCAGAGTTACTTGAACTTCTTCTTAAAGGGGAGTTTTAAGAGTCCCCCTTAAAATTTCTTGCAGAGCTGGTTTGGAGGTCACATATTCTTTCAGTTCCTGCCTGTCTTGGAAGCTCTTTATCTCTCCTTCCATTTTGAATGAGAGCCTTGCTGGATAAAGTATTCTTGGTTGCATGTTCTTCTCATTTAGGACCCTGAATATATCCTGCCAGCCCTTTCTGGCCTGCCACGTCTCTGTGGAGAGGTCTGCTGTTACCCTAATATTCCTCCCCATGAAAGTCAGGGACTTCTTGTCTCTTGCTGCTTTAAGGATCTTCTCTTTATCTTTGGAATTTGCAAGCTTCACTATTAGATGTCGAGGTGTTGAACGGTTTTTATTGATTTTAGGGGGGGATCTCTCTATTTCCTGGATCTGAATGCCTGTTTCCCTTCCCAGATTGGGAAAGTTTTCAGCTAGGATTTGTTCAAATACATATTCTGGCCCTCTGTCCCTTTCGGCGCCCTCGGGAACCCCAATTAAACGTAGGTTTTTCTTCCTCAGGCTGTCGTTTATTTGCCTTAATCTGTCTTCATGGTCCTTCAATTGTTTATCTCTTTTTTCCTCAGTTTCCCTCTTTGCCATTAACTTGTCTTCTATGTCACTCACTCGTTCTTCCACCTCGTTAACCCTCGTCGTTAGGACTTCTAGTTTGGATTGCATCTCATTCAATTGATTTTTAATTTCTGCCTGATTGGATCTAAATTCTGCAGTCATGAAGTCTCGTGAGGCCTTAATGCTTTTTTCTAGAGCCACCAGTAGCTGTATAATGGTGCTTCTGAATTGGCTTTCTGACATTGAAGTGTAATCCAGATTTTGTAACTCTGTGGGAAAGAGGGCTGTTTCTGATTCTTTCTTTTGAGTTGAGGTTTTCCTTCTAGTCATTTTGCTCAGTGCAGAGTGGCCAGAAACAAGTTGTATTGGAACACGGGGGAGTATCACTGGTCCCTCTAGCTGGTCTTCTGGGGGAGGGGCCTGCTGTGCTGATTCTCAGGTGTTAGCCCTTGGGGGAGCTGCTCTGCCCCTGCCTGCTGCAGGGCTCAGCGGGGGTTGTTTACCCCGCCAGGCCCCAGGAGGATCAGCCGCAGTTGCTATGGCAACTCTGGAAGCCTGGATTCAGCCCCCTCAGGAACTACGGGGCTCGGGGCTCTCTCGGTTCTCAGTCCGCAGGGCCTGGAGGCTCCGGGGCGTGGCCGCTGATCTGCTCAGCTCGGGGCAGGAGCGTCCTCGCTGTCTCGGGCCCTCCCGGCCTCTGCCTGTCCCGGGGGAGGCCGGATCCTGGGCTGTGTCCCGGCGCCCTGTGCTCCGGGGCCTGCGCTGGTGGATTCGCGCTCCCGCCCCGCAGCCCCCTCCGCGGAGCCGCCGCCCGAGCCCCTCCGAGCTGCTCCGGGTCCCGCCGTGCGCGCTGCAGCCCTTAGGGAGCTCGGCGCACTCTCCCGGGGCGCAGGTGTCTGTTAGTGTCCCCGGGAGCCCCTCTTTATATATTTTAGATACTAACCCATTATCAAATATGTAATTTGAAAATATCTTCTACCATTTCATAGGTTGCCTTTTGGTTTTGTAACCTCTTGACACTGTCCATAACAACTTCTTTCTAGAAATGTCCCTGAGGTAAGGGAAATAAAGACAGAAATAAGCTTAAAAAATGGATATGAACAAATAAATAAATAATTCTCTAAAAAACACTAGTTGTGGATCTCAGATTAACAACAAAAATATAAATTACTTTAGCATTCATAAATGCAATTGACTTGAATCTATACATTGGTACTTAATTTAAAATAGTTCATCTTGTTACTTCAGTATCCTTCTCTGTAATGATTTTTTATCTTTAAGAATTAAGATTCTTTATGATAGCTTTATAGAATTTATATCTTAAATTTCATATATAATTGTTCCTTCTTGAAACTTGCCCCACTTTATTGTTGTGGCATGTTTGTGAAGAAAATTTTATTACCCAATTCCAAAATCTACCTTTATTTAGCAAATTTACTTTAGGAAATTACAAAGAAGCATAGTATTACTGTTTCATCAACATATATTCATATATATTCTTTTACATATATTCACATATACTGACATATATTCTTTCCTGATATTATCATTCAACTTGAGAACCTTAATAATAATGAGATAATGTAAAAAAAAATGAGATAATGTTACATGCTTAGATGGTGGACTTCTTTCCAGTTTTATCACTGCATTTTATCCTTTTCAGTTTTTCCTCCAACTTGTGATAGTCAAAAATCTTAGTTACTTTTTTTTTAATCCTTCAGGTAAAGGAGTTTCACCCACTTCTAATCAGGTAATAAAAATATTAATTTGTGTGATAAATGTTAAACTACAGATGACTATTTAAGGGTAGCTGTCTTTCTTGTAATTTTTGAATAAGCTTATCAAAGTATTTTATGCTATAAATAATTTGCTTTATAGTTTTAATGCAGAAATAGAGAACATTAAAAAATAAAACAATATATTAACTGATTTAAGTGACTGGAAAATTCTTATTGTTGACCCAAATTCTACTGAAGTTTATTATTTTAATTTTCATTTTTTTACGGTTTTGCTGATGTACAATTTATTTATTTATTTATTTTTGTTTAGATTTTTTAAATACATTTTCAAAACTACTATAATGAAAATAAAATGAAATAAATTTATACTTATAATTTGACCATCATAAAACATTAATTTTTTCAGCTTTCTATGTTACCTTCTAATATTTAAACCCAGGAATCAGCATTTATATTTACAAATATGGTGGAAATTGGGGATCTCTGGGTGGGTCAGTGGTTAAGTGTCTGCCTTCGGCCTGAGGCATGATTCTGGAGTCCCAGGATTGAGTCCTGTGTCGGGGTCCCTGCATGGAGCTTGCTTCTCCCTCTGCCTGTGTCTCTGCCTCTCTCTCTCTCTCTCTCTCTCTCTCTCTCTGTGTGTGTCTCTCATGAGTGAATAAATAAAATCTTTAAAAAATATGGTGGAAATTAATAGACATAAAAATGTTTATTCCTTTTAATACTATATCACAAAAATTTTATTGATTTAATTACAATATAGTATCTTAATGCTTTCATTTTCTTTCATAGTCTGTGCAGTTGAGAATGTATTTAATCTCAAAAATTTAATTTTACTTTGTCTTATGAAACTTGATGTTTTATATAGTTCAATTACTTGAGGTATGATTATTGCATATATTATGTCTGAATATGTGTGACTCAATGTATACAACTACAATTTTTAGATATTCAGAATGATAATAATATCCTTCTTTTCTCTTTTGTTATTTGAAGTGAAACAAAAACATAATGAACAATAGCTTGGAGCACAGTACATTTTGCTAAAATGAAGTCTATAAGATATTTCTGAAGCTCTTTTGAGAAAATGCTTTGGATACCTGATGTGTTAAGATAACCATAAGACAAGAAGAAAGGAGGGGAAGTCACTAAACTCAAATTTGATTAATGGTCCTGGATCCTTGATTTATTATTGTTATTATTATTCTTGTGCTTGGCAGGAAAATGAGAATGGCAGTGGTTCTGAGGAACTGTGCTACTCTGTCATTAGTCACAGACCCTGTCGGAGGCCCTCCCTGAGCTCCAATGATGATGGATATGAGAATATTGACTCCACCACAAAGAGTGTGAGGACATATAGAGATGCACCAGAAACAGAATATGCCCTCATCAAGATGACTTGTGTTACTAGGCCTTCTTCCTGTAGCCTTGAGCATGATTATGAACTTGTGCTTCCCCGCTAGAAATGTCATGCTTCATCATCTTACACTAACAAAGATTAATGAATAGTGACCTCCAGGGGAGGGTTTCTGCATCTCTGAAACATGACAACTCTGGTTTGGGTTAAGCCATATAAATTGACCTAAAGGTATGGAGCATCCTACAGCTTTCTGTTTGTAAGTTTGGGGACATGGAGATAGTGGAAACTTCTTAGAACAATGGACATCCATAGATATATGACCTAATATCCAATTCCAGCACTGTTCTTCAAATTTCAAATGCCAAGAATTTCCACTCATAATTATCTATGTCACTTTTGAGGTGTAATTCTACTCAATAAACTTTTAAAATATAAGACCAGTGATCAGACTCTTTGCTAACCTGATTTTTATTTAAATTTTGATTTTTTCATGTATTAGAAATTCTTTTCTGTAAACTGTGGTAAGAGTTCTAAGAATCAATAGGTTTTGACACTGACCTTTCTGAGAGGAGAAACTGAAAGTCATTAAAAAAGAAGAAATGCATCAAGTTTAGTTACCCACTGTCTTTTTCTTCAATGGTAAATCAGAGGATTCTGTTCAAAGATTAGTTAAAAAAACCTAAAAACCAAAAACCTAAACCAAACAAGCAAAAACAAAAGTAAACTTTGTGTATATAGCTTTGTTCACAACATACTACTGAATTTAATCTATGACTAGTTATCTCTGCTGGAGGACTTTGAAGAGTGTTTGATCTTAAAATTCAGGCATATTGGGAGTTTGGGGAAGATGGCAGAGTAGGAAAATCCTGAGGTCACCTTGCTCCACAAACACACTGTGATAACAGACACTTTAGTGCATCTAACTCTGAAATGGACCTGGGGAAGAACAGATTTTCCATAGTTAATTATAGAGAAGAGGCCATATCAGAAAAGGTCGGAAGGGCAGGTATGTTGGGAAACAAATACTTGGCAGGATTAACCACAAAAAGAAGGGTGAAACAAGCATGGTGAAACAAGAGGATTAGAGAGCCACACCCTAGGCACGGGGAACCTGCACTAAGACCAGTCCCAATCATATCTGGCTTTGATAATGTGTGGGGCTTAAATTTGTTTCTACAATCAATGGACCTTAACTCCAGGTACTCTGACTGCTGACATGGCAACTACAAGCCCTGACAGGTCCAATAACAGCATAGGAACCTAATCATGCCTATGTGTCCACAACAAGCAAAGGGGACCATTGCAGTCAACTGGACTGAAAATAAACACAGATCAGGCACAAGAGTTGGGCACATGCAACCTACATGGTGAACACACCTGAAGTTCTTGGTCTGGGAAACAGGGTTGTTGTACTACAGGGCACCGTAAGACCTCTTTTTCACAAGGCCATAATTTTTAAGGTCTGGAACATATCTGGATTTCCTAATACATAGAAACAAACAGAGAATCAGATAAAATGAAGAAACAGAAGAATATGTCTCAAATAAAAGAATAAGCCAAGCCATAGCAAAAGAGCAAAATGAAACAAATAACATATGACTGATAAAGAATTCAAAGTAAAGGTTATAAAGATTCCTGCTGGACTTGAGGAAACTGAAAAATCTTAGTGAAACCTTCAACAAGGATATAGGAAATATAAAAAAATGAACCAGAGATGAAGAATGCAAAAACTGAGATTAAAAAAAAAATACACCAAAGGGAATATTGATTAAACATGAGAGAAAGCAGAAGAGCAGATCAGTGATCTGGAAGACAGGATAATGGGAAGTAATAAAGCTGAACAGCAAATAGAAAAAAAAAGAATAATAATAATAAAACATAAGAATACATTAAGGGAACTAAGTGACATCATCAAACCTAATAACAGCGGCATTATAAGGATCCCAGAAAGGGATCTCTGAAGACAGATAAGTGGGGACAAAAAAAATTATTTGACGAAATAATAGCTTAAGATTTCCCTAACCTGGAGAAGGAAACAGATATCCCCATCTAGGAGGCACAGAGAGCCTCCAACAAAATCAACCCAAGGAGGTCCACAGCAAGACACATAACAAATAAAATGGTAAAAAGTAGTGATTGAGAACTTTAAAAGTAGCAGAGAAATGTATAAAAGACATACAAGGAAAAGTCCATAAGGTTATCAGCTGATCTTTCTTTTAAAGATTTTATTTATTTATTCATGAGACAGAGAGAGAGAGAGAGAGAAAGAGAGAGAATACCAGAGACACAGGCAGAGGTAGAAGCAGGCCCCAAGCATGGAGTCCAATGCGGGACTCTATTCTGGGTCTCCAGGATCTGGCCCTGGGCTGAAGGCGGTACTAAGCCACTGAGTCACCTAGGCTGCCCTATCAGCTGATCTTTTAACAAAAACTTACAGCAAAAAAAAAAAAAAAAAGAGTGATATAGGTAGGTTCAAAGTCCTCAAAGGAAAAAAAAAGAGAAGAAAAAAAGAAAAACTTGTATCCAAGAATGCCCAGCAAGGCCATTATTCAGAGTAGAAGGGGCATAAATTTCCCCAGACAACCAAAAGTTAAAGGAATTCATCACCACTAAACCAGCCTTACAAAAAACATTAATGTGGATTATTGAGTGGAAAGAAAAGGTCATAGTTAGGAATAAGACTAAAGGAAAACATTTATAAGGAAACATAAAAGGAAAACATTTAAAAGATAATGCAGACATATAAAAAAGTAGTAGACTAATCATTATAAAATCAGTATAGTGGTTAAAGCACAAAGGCAGTAAAACAAATTATAAATACAAAAATCAGTCAAGAGATGCACAAAATAAAGAATATGAACTATGAGATCATATTCATATAACATGGGGAGGGCAGTAAAAATTTAATGCTTTTAAAATTTGTTCAAACTTATGACCATCAACATAGTATAGACTGCTATATTCATAAGATGTTGTATGTGAACCTAATGGTAAACACAAATAAAAAAATCTATAATGGATATAGAAAACATTTAAAGGATTCCAAGAATATCACTAAAGAAGGACATCAAACCACAAGAGACAAAGCAAGGCAAAAATAGAGAACAGAGAAGAATTAGCAAAACAACACAAAACTAGAAATAAAATTTCAGTAAGTACATATCTGTTGATAATCACTTTGAATCTAAATGAACTAAATGTTCCGATCAAAAGACAGGGTATTTAGCAGAGACATGGACAAATATTTCTCCTGAGAAGACAATCAGATGGCCAACAGACACATGAAAAGATGAATGGATAAAGAAGCTGTGGCCTATGTATACAATGGAATATTCCTCAGCCATTAGAAACGACAAATACCCACCATTTGCTTCAACGTGGATGGAACTGGAGGGTATTATGCTGAGTGAAGTAAGTCAATCGGAGAAGGACAAACAGTGTATGGTCTCATTCATTTGGGGAATATAAAAAATAGTGGAAGGGAATAAAGGGAAAAGGAGAAAAAATGAGTGGGAAATATCAGAAAGGGAGACAGAACATGAGAGACTCCTAACTCTGGGAAATGAACAAGGGGTGGTAGAAAGGAAGGTGGGTGGGGGAGTGGGAGTAAGTGGGTGATGGGCACTGAGGGGGGCACTTGATGGGATGAGCACTGGGTATTATGCTATATGTTGGCAAATCAAATTGAACTCCAATAAAAAAACTAACTTAAAATAAAAAATAAAAAAAGAAAAGATGATCAACATCACTTGTCATCAGAGAAATGTAAATTAAAATGACTATGAGATATTACATCACATCCATAAGAATGGCTAACACACACACACACACACACACACAGGAGGAAACAAGTGCTGGTGAGTATGTGGAGAAAAAGAAACTCTCATGAATTGTTGGTGGGAATGCACACTGCTGCACCCACTGCGATAAACAGTATAGAGCTTCCTCAAATAATTAAAAATAGAATATCCTATGATCCATACTTCCACTACTGGGTATTTACCCAAAGAATATAAAAACACTAATTTGAAAAGATTCATATACCCTTATGTTTATTACACATTATTTAAAAGTGCTCATCAATAAATGAATAGGTAAAGATATATATGATATATATCTATAAATATATATAAATTAGAATATTATCCATAAAAAGTATTAAATCTTGCAATTTGCAATAACATGGATAGATCTAGAAATCATAATGCTTAGTGAAATAAGTTGGTCATCTTATTTGGATGCTGAAAACAGCAGATAATCCCTTGCTAAATAGTAATATTAGACTGACAGAAATTTCTATCCTACAGGCTTCCTTTTCCCTCAGTGATTCCTAATGAACTAAACACCAGTGAACACGTCTTAATTACTTCCTTGGGGTTCTTTGCCCCAGTGACCTCGGCCAAGTAAACATACTAAATATCGCTCTTCGTTACTTCCTTATATTCTCATTTTAGAGACAAAGGAGAGTCTGCTCCTTTATGGGGTGGATTCATTTTCCCTTTGCTGGTGTCTGCTTTTTGACCTCAGGTAAACAATATCAATAACAAAGCCCTTATTTCTCTTCATGTGTGTGTACAGATCTTGTGACAAGAGGCTCTATGGAAAGTAAAGCAATCACTTATTTATGGCTGTTTTATAATAAATACATAATTGAATAAACTTTTCTGTTATTAATTAGATTTAAGGGAAGCTAATATAATTGTTTTCCAGTATTTTGCCAGGTAGATATATATTAGTTAATTGAATGAATCATTGTACATAAATCCAAAACTATAAATCTGTTCACTCTGTGTCATGGAGGAAGTGCTAATTTGAAATAATGTTATTTGGATTTGATGTAAATATTTTAAATAATTCTGTCCTTTTCAACTATGAATGTTATTATGTAGACAAAAAAGTGTCATACTATGCATTTATAGTTTGATTAAAGTTTCAGAAAGTATAAACCAAGTTTTTAAAAAATATGAAGAAAGTAAATATGGTTAGTGTTCATTGTGAGTATACTAGCATAATCTATTTATTTTTATTTTATTTTAATATTTTTATTTTTTATTCATTGGAGACACACACAGAGAGAAAGAGGCAGAGACACAGACAGAGGGAGAAGCAAGCTCCCCACAAGGAGCCTGATGCAGGACCTTATCCCTGACCCGAGATCACGCCCTGAGCCAAAGGCAATGCTCAACCTCTGAGTGACCACGTGTCCCTAACATAATCCATTTTATTTTATTATTTTTAATTTTTTTAATAAATAAATTTATTATTCGTGTTCAATTTGCCAACATACAAGATAACACCCAGTGCTCATCCCGTCAAGTGGCCCCCTCAGTGCCCGCCACCCAGTCACACCCACCCCCTCCCCACCTCCCCTTCCACCACACCTAGTTTGTTTCCCAGAGTTAGGAGTCTTCCATGTT